GCAGAACCCCCAAAACTAAGTATTCAGCCAAACCAGGTTATTCCAGTGTAACACAGCCTAGTGTGTAAATACGTAGCTATTCTTAATCATTTAGCTCAACCTACCTGACTGACCATTTCAATGATTAACTTTAAAGGCAGTTTCTTGGGCTGCAAGGGAGGCTGGATGGAGCACCTCACAGGAAGTCATCTGCCCACTGACTGGAAGTCTCAGATGAAGGGCAGCCTGAAAGCTGTGAGTCTGGCAGAAGGAAATACTATGGCTTTGTCCTTCAGTGAAAGCGGAGGAAAATTTGGGAAACCGGAAGTTCCTTTTAACCATTGTATTGGTGAGGTTGTGGGCGAGATGACATTTTCTTGGCATGTGGCCTATTGCTACGTGCGAACTTTTACGTATGTGTAACATACACTCCGTGGTTTACATGCTCACCTGGAATGAAAGGTACACTCAGAAGAATGACATAAATAGAATATTCTGGTCCTATCATTTTTGGGGAACTGGAGATTGAACTCAGAGCCTTGTGCATACTAAGCACATTCTCTGCCACTGTACCGTACACCAGCTTTTCTGGTCGCATTTTTGTTTCTTGAAAAATGTGAATAATTTTAATGTGAAGGATATATTTATTACTGTGTATTATGCAAATTAATGAGTTTCATTGAGCAGATTTGTACGTGTGTAATACACTCAGATCGTTCCTCTCTATTCCTTCCTATTCTCTAATAGCTCCCCCTTTTACTTACATCTCATACATCTCGCTTTCTCTGTCTGACTTCGCATATGAGAGAAAACATGATATTTGTCTTTCTGAGTTTGGATTATTTCACTTAACATGATGATCTGCAGTTCCAGTCATTTCTCTGTAAATTTACAGGATTTCATTTTTCTTTAGGGCTGAAATATATATATATATTCATTTACCTATGGAGGGCAGCTACAGTAATTCCATAGTTTAGCTATTGTGAGTTGGGGTACAGGGAACATGGGTATGCAGGTATCTAAAGTATGCTGACTTTAATTCTTTCAAGAAGATACTGAGGCGTGGTTATTATGTCAGCTTTTCAATCACTGAGCTAAAACATCCAACACCTGTAACTTAAAGGAGATGGTTATTGGGCTCATGGCTTTGGAAGTTTCAGCCCATGGTCAGCAGGCTCCAAGGCAGAAATGGCCTGGGAGAAGGGCCCGGCATGGAAAAAGCTGCCCACCCCACGGAGGACAGGAAGCAGAGAGAGAGGGGAGGAACTGGGGACAAGGAGACACCCTTCCAGATCACACCTCAGTGATCCACCACTTCCAACCAAGCCCCGTTTCTGAACAACACAGCCAGCTGTGAACTCTTTGGTGGACCAATCCACTGTGCTCCATGATCCAGTCACCTTCCAAATGCTCCTCCTCTGAACAGGACACTTTGAGGGGACATTTTAGACCTAAACCATAATAAGTGGTATAGCTAGGTCAAATGGTGTCTCTGTGTTTAGTTTTTTTTTTTTGAAGAACCTCCATTCTAATTCCCACAGGGCAGTACTAATTTAGATCCTCACCAACAGAGGTGCAGGACCTCTACAATGAAAAAGAAATTTAAAATTTTTCAAAAATCTTTATTAGTACATATTTGTAGTACATAATGTTTACAGTCCTTGTGTGGACCTTGTACATGTACAGAACATCTTTTTTTTAAAGACAGGGTCTCACTGTGTAGTTTAGGCTGACCTGGACTTAGTATGTAGTCCAGGTTGATCTTGAATTCATGGTGATCCTCCTGCCACAGCCTCCTGAATGCTGGGATTACAGGTGTGCACCACCACACCTGGCTATGTACATAACATCTTAATTCCTTTCATCCTTTTCCAGCTTCCTCCCTCTCCCTCCATTTCTTGATTCCCATCCCTTTTGCAAAAGATCTATCTTCCTACTTCCCATTGTCTCTCTTTAAGTTTTCTCTTCATACTTTGGGTTCTTCATCTAAAGGAAACCATGGGATATTTAAGTTTGTAAGTCTGATTTATTTCACTCAGCATTATGGCCTCAAGGTGCATCCATTTTCCTAAAAATGCTCGGTATCTTTCTTTATGACAGAGTAGTATTCCACTGTATATAAATAACACATTTTCTCTATCCATTCATCTGTTGATGGCCATATAGGCTGCTTCCAAGATTTAGCTATTATGAATTGTGCTGCTATAAACACGGGTGTGCAGGGATCACTGCTATAGGATGTCTTTGACTCTTTCAGGAAGATACCTAGATGGGAGTGGCTGGGCCAGATTAGTTTTTGAGGAATCTCCACACTGCTTTTCATAGTGGTTGCCCAGGCTGACCTGGAACTCATGGGCTGAGTCAATCCTGTCCCCCAAGTAGCTGGGATGGCAGGAGTGTGCCACTGCCCCCATCTGCTATCCCATCTTAATTAGAATGAGAGTGGCTCCTCACATGAGAAGAGTCCTTCATTGTTACCAACGGCTTTCCCACTAAATATAGCCTTTGACAAGCTCAGCATCCCCTGTGAGGTGGACACTGTGGGCTTCATTTTCAATCCGGAAAATGTAGGAAGTGGTTTTTATTTAGTTCACCTAAGGGCCAGTTCTGAGGCAGAGGAGGCGGGTAGAGGGTAAGTTATAGGTGGATCTTCAGTAGAGACCACACCCTGGGCCCACTGGATTGGCGGTAGTGGGCATGATTAAAGCTGGCTGGGAAACGTAGGGAGTTCTGTGGACTGTGGCAAAGTGAAAGACCACAAACCTTTCTTTAAAAAGTAGCTGCCATCCAGGTGTATTGGCACACACCTGTAATCCCAGATACTCAGGAGGCTGAGGCAGGAGGATCACATATTTGAGGCAATTTAGCAAGACCTGGTCTCTAAATTGAAATTTTCAAATGGCTGGGGATATAGCTCAGTGTGAAGTACCTGGGTTCAACCCTCAATACTATCAGTCATTTTCAGTCTATCATGTGGGAATATTGGCCTGGTGTTGCCAGTTTCTGACTTTTCAAGAGAATTTATACACCCAGATTATTCATAAATACCCTGAGCTTTAAATGTCAGCAAACAATTCAAATCAAATCTGAATAGGTGCTTTTGTCTCATAATAAATGGTAGGAATAGGGGATTCACAGCAGTGAATATCAAAACACAGTCTTGTGAAAACTGCCAAGCACTCTGTGTATATTAATCAAATCTCTGTGAGTGAGATTCTGTGAGGATCTCCTTCGTGCAGGTGAAAATGTGACTCGGCGGCTCTCTCAGGGCCATCCAGCCAGATGGGAACAGAGCCAGGACTGGGTCAGCTTTTGCAGGACGCCAATGTGAGCAGTGTCCAGGGGTGGAGACTCTAGAGAACTTTAAAACTACTCAAATGGACTCAAGGTTGTATTATTCCCACGCACAGGCAAAATCAAATAATGTCAGGGGGAAAATACACATTTCCTGTACATATATCTAAGTTCTAAAGAAATAGCTCTGGGCTCTGGTAAGATTTTTTTTGTTTAATAATCTTTTAAAAATTTATGGTAACATATATAAAAAATTTACCATCTTAATAATGTTGAAGCATATAGCTCAGTATTATTCAATGTATTCGCTTTGTATTCCAACCAATTCCTGACTTTATCTCTCCAAGCTGAAACTCTGGGTCCATTACATAATGGCTCCTCATCGCCTCCCCTAGCCTCTAGCAACACAAGTCTACTTTCTGTCTCTCTGAATTGGCCACTGTAGGAAGCTCATATAGGTGGAATCATGGAGAAGCTCTCCCTTTGTTCCATGTTGTAGCATGTGGTAGAATTTCCTTCCTTTTCCAAGCTGAATAATATTCCATTGTGTGACCGTAGCACATATTGCTCACCCATTTATGGAGGCAGACTTGTTTTGTTTCTAGCATGTGGGTGTGCAGAGATCTTGCTTTCAGTTCTTTGGGGTATCTTCCTGGAAGCAGGACTGCTGGATCATGTGGCAATGCAAGATTTAATTTCTGAGGAGCTGCCCTACTTTTTCCACACTTCTGGTATCCGTGCAGTTTTCCCAACCTCTCCTCATCCTCACCAGCACTTGTTTTCTGTGTGAGGTGTAATCTCATTTGGGTTTTGATTTGCATTTCCCTGTTCTATAAGACCACTTGTCATCTTCATCTGGTTTAAATTTTACAAAATGAGACAGGGTATGGACTGCGAGGGGTAATAGTTTGGTTTGGTAAGTGCAAATCTTACTGAATTTTCATATCAGCTTTAAAATTCCTTCTCTTTTCATTGTTATTCATCCTAATGACTTAATGGTTAGTATATTTGCGTGTTATTCATAGTTGTAACATGTAGGTGGGAAATTTCTTGAAAATTACATTAATGTATTTTTAATCCGTGAATTCTTTTGGCTATAGTAATTTTTTATTTAAAAATGTTGCTCGCTAATCCCAGCATTCTGGAGGCAGAGGCAGGAGGATCGCTGTGAGTTCCAGGCCAGCCTGGGCTACATGGTGACTTTAAGGCCAGCCTGGAATACACAGCAAGACCCTGTCTCAAAAAAACAAAAACCAGTAACAAGATTTTGCTGGCTTGCTTTTATATAGAAGGTTCAATAAAACAATTAAATGGTGTTTTCCTAGACATTGTTATATTGCATCTAATGTTACTGAAAAAAAATGTTTGTGTTGTAAAAGAGGAGTGTTCAAAAATCATGGTTCCAAGGGCCAAACTGGCTGGGTGGAGCACTAAGGTGAGATGTCCCCGCGCGTGTGCAGGTAAGAGGAGACGGGTGCTGGCGTGATAAACAGAGAGATCTTGCAGGTCCCAGGACCAGAGGAAGGCATCTGCATGCTCTGTCACAGGCTCCCAGAAGGCTCTGGAGGGCTAGTGAGGGAAGCACCGTGACTCCTGTTGACCACTCTGGTACCAGTGTGCTGGCAGAGGTGACAGAAATGTGTCAGACAGTGTTCTCCAGGGAAGAAGAACCAATGGCGCGCGCACACACACACACACACACACACACACACACACACACACACACGTATTTATTTACTTGTTTATTATGGGAATTTGCTCACATAACTGTGGAGGCTGACAAGTCCCACCATCTGTCACCAGCAAGCAGGAAAGCAGGAAAGCTGTAGCATCCAGCAGTTCAAGGCCGAGCCAACAGTGTTCACTTGCAGCCAGATCTGAAGGCCCGGGGGTGCGGTGAGGGGCCTGGTACATATGTCTCAGAGTCCGGAGGCCTGGAGTCAGGAGTTCTGGTATCCAAGGCAGGAGAAGACAGATGGCCTGGCTCCAGCAGAGCGAATTTGCTCTTCTTCTCCCTCTTTGTTCTATTCAGGCCTTGAACGCATTAGACAATGCATTAGGTGATACTGGTGCAGGTAGATCATCTTCACCCGGCACAGATTCAAAACCTCTTCTACTGAGAAATGCTTGCAGACACAAAGAATGATGATTTCCCAGCTGTCTGCACATCCCAGAACCTCAACAAGTTGATACGAAAACGAATCCTTGAAAATGTGGACCATGTGAGCTGACGAGCAGGCTGGGGCAGTTCTGGATCTCTGAGGACTCCTGAGTGCCCAGCCAGGGCTGCAGTGGGCAGCTGGGCAGCTCACATGTGCCTGGACTTCGGTGCTGCTAGCGAGCTGCAATGCTTACTCCACAGCCATCTCTGGAGTGACACCCGCGGAGAAGAGGGTGTGGGCAGGGGAGTCCAGGGGCTGCAGCAAATGCCCACCAGTCCTGGCACAGTCTAAATATGGCAAGTGTGAGAAAACTGTCCCCGGTGAGAGCGAGTGCAAATACAAAACACGGATCCCACGGCGGGCAGCGTGTCTGGGCACCGATAAACAGCAGCAATTTCTGTAATGAAGTGGTGCCATTATTTTAAGCATGATAAGGTTCTAGAAGGGACTTTGCCAAGGCAGAAGCTATTCTACCACTGCCAGTCTTTTCCTTCCTTTGTATTTCCCACCAAGCTGAGGTTTCCGGCTCAGAGGTCCAGAGTGGGCGTCCCTGTTTCCAGGGACCATGACCAAAACTTCAGGATAAGGGTAGGGGTGCAGCTCATTGGTACAGCACTTGCCTGGTATGTGCACACTAAGGCTTTGGGTTTGATCACAGTACCAAAACAAAGCAAAACAAACACATACGCACAAAAGCAAACCAATAGGGTACTCAGTGAGGAAACCACCACCACTGCTGCGATACTACATGCGAGGGCCACAGTGTGGGGTCCAGAGAGGCAGGACTGAGCTTGGGGCTGTTCTGAAATGCAAACACCTGCTCCACAGATAAAGGAACAATACATAAATTACAAGGGGGAGAGAGAGCTATTTCCATCAATTGCAAGGTGTGAACCTTGCCTGGATCCTGATTTTTTTTTTTTTTTTTTTGAGACACGGTCTCACTATGCAGTTCAGTTTGGCCTTGGACTCACTATGTAGCCCAGGCTGCCCTTGTACTTGCAGCAACTCTCCTACCTCAGCTTCCCGAGTGCTAGGATTACAGGTGTGTGCCACACCCTGCATGGATCCTGATTCTTCCTGAGACAGGTCTCGCTTTGTTTCCCAGGTTGACCACAAACTCTTGGGTTCCAGGGATCTTCTGGATTTGGCTTCCCAAGGAGCTGGGACTACACCCCTGGTGATTTGGATTCTTAACACATAAACCAAAAAATAAATCAGGGCATTTCTGAGACAGTGGAAATTAGAATTCTATCCATATATTTCATGACTAGGGAATTACTGTTAACTATTTTAGGTATAATCAATACAGATGAAATGATAGGATGTCTTCGGTTTCTTTCAAAACAAGAGGGGGTAGAAGTCATCTATAGAAGGAACAGAACTGGCTTGGATTGTGGCCACAGGACTGGACAGTCATGAGGGCTTTGGTATACTCCCCTCTCTGATTTTATGACCGAGGTCTCCATTGTAAAATGATTTTTAAAAATTACTACATTGTGACAAAAACCTGGTGCATAGGCTCCAACTTGACAGCACCCTACAGGAAAAAGTTAATTGCCTCTTTTCATTTATTTTTGTTTTTCTTTTGAGACAGGGACTTGCTATGTAGTACAGGCTGGGCTGGGGCATGCTAAATACAGTCCCCCAGGCTGGCCTTGAATGTGGGGTGATCCTCTTGTCTCAGCCTCCTGAGTGCAGGGATTATAGGCATGTGCCACTATGCCTGGCTTTAAGATGCTCCAAGTCCATATATGCGAAAGAAAGGGCCAGATTAGCGTGGTGGTATCTTAGACACTGGCTGTGCTGGGGCCTCCTCACACCAAAGGCCCTGAAGGCAGGCCTGAGCCTTGAGGCTTTAGCAGGAATGTCATATCAGTGTAACTGGATGTCAACCCTTTGTTTCCTTATATTTATTTTATGCCCCTACTTCTAGTTTGGCAACTGATACTGACTTTTACTTACAGAAGCAGCGAAGTTTGCTTCTTATATAAATATGTGTAAACACTTTGCTTTGAAGACAAGCAAGAAATGACAGTACAGGTGGCAGTCAGATATTGTAAAAGAAAAATGTTTTAGGGTGCTAGGAAATGACAGAAGTTTGGGAGACACTGATAATCTGTTCCAGGAAGTGTTTCCTAATTGATCTGGTAGACAACCATCTCACACAGATTGTCTCTCCTGTCCCTGAAGGACGTCATGCCTGGCCTAATGGTCTGCTCGGGCCACACCCCTGTCCCCTCCTACCTCCTTGCGTGTCACCCAAAGCCCCAATGCCCAGAGAAAGGGCCCCAATGGAAGGGTGCGGTGCAGAAACACCTCACAGACAAGTGGGGAGCGGCTCCCACCCACAGCCCCACACACAGTTCCTGACCAGGTCTGTAGGTGGCCGAGGTCAAGGGAGGGAGATATGTTTAAGGACAACGTAAAGCATGAAATCTCAAATAGGAAAACATTTTCCCATTAAATGGCTGTTTTCTGCTGGGGAAAATGCCCTCATTACCTCAAAGCAGCCACTGAGGCAGCCCAGCAAGCTGTGTCCATTCAAGTGTGTTACATTAGGCCTGTTGGTGTGCTTTATTTAATCTGTGTACTTTTTTTGAGATGGTTATAGATTAACATACAGTTGTAAGAAATAATACAGAGCATGCCCAGGTACCCTTACTTTGTTCTCCTAGTAGTTTTGCAACCCCAGGGAGTTGGCACTGATGCAGTCAAGGTTTGGGGCATTTCCACCCCCCCCCAGATGTCACGCACCCCATCACTCACCCCTGGCAATCACTCATCTAGTCCTTCTTTCTGTAATTTTGTAATTTTGATTCAGGCATGTTCTATACAAAATTATGTAGGATGGAACTTTGTCTTGCTACAGTGAAATCCCCTAGAACTAACTTTACAAAGAAAAAAAGTCTGAGTTCATCCTTGGAGCCCTGTACCTGCAGTTACTCAGTTCTTCCAAGGACTTTTGGGTGAATGGCTGGTGGCCGTGGCAGGAGTATTTGTCAGGAGGAGTTGCATATTGAGTCAGGAAGCAGAGAAACTGGGGTCCTCCAACCCCAGAGGTCAAACCCCGCTGACCTAAGGCCTCTCACGAGTCCACCCCTTAAAGGTCCACAGCACTTTCAAACGTCACCACACTGAGGACCATGCCTCTTGGATGACACTCGAACCACACAAACCAGAGCCCTCTTTGCCTTCCCATCCAGCACATCTCCCTGGAGTTTATTTCTTTTTATTCCTGGACCGTATTTCACGGCGTGAGTGTGCCGTGTTCACCATCCCCTACTGCAGGACCCGGGTGCTGCCTCCAGTTTTGGTTCATTACGAATCTTATGTACAGGGATTGAGATGAATATTGAGCTTTCATTTCTCTGGTACAAATCTCTAAGAGGGTGTCTGTTTTTAAATACATTAGTTGCTATCATTTACAGCCAAGATGTTTCAACTAAAAATTCGAGGTTGTCCACTTCTCCTCAATAATCACAAGATTTGGAAAGACAGGGCTATGGAGACTCCTGATCCTAACGGACCAGAGGTCCAGGACTCTATTGCCACACAGGGTCTCTCCTACTTATTTACTTAGCTGTCCGGCAAGGGATCCACACACTTACATTTGCTTAGATAGGCATAGCATGACTTCAGGTCTACTCAAGGGTACACTCCTAGAAAACACCCCCTCCTAGAGCACCTGGTGGCATACAGACCCACCCACCCCCAGCTTCCAGCTCTGGGACCTCTAAAGCTGTTTCTCCCAACACATATATCCCTGGTGTAGGGCCCACAGGCTTTTGAGGGTGACTCCAAAACATCCCCCACTGCATCCTGAAGTCGCTTGGGGCCAGAAGATGGGGTTATACCCACGTGCGCCTTCTGAAGGGCAGTGTTTCTCTGTGACCAGTCCCGGGACCAGCTCAACCAAACCGCCTTGCTGAGCCTGACTGAAAATTAGCTTCCCCTTCCTGTGCGCTCATAGCACCTCTGCGTGCCTTACTGGCTACGAGTTCCCACACACTTCCGGTCCTCGGCGCCCAATGGCCTCGTGCGCCCTCGCCTGCACCTTCGCTGACCTCTTCCCCCTACGCTGAAGGCTTTCCTGCAAAACTAGATGAATACTTTAGAGGCCCTGAGAAGCACATCTTAGCTGCAATTCGTGACAGAGACAGCTACAAACCACAGAGCCCTTACTACGTACCCTAAGATCCTCAGTTTGTCTCCCCACAGCTGAATTCAGCCAAGCTGCACGTTCCTATGCGCAGGGGTGGGTGGTGGGTGGGGGGCGCTGTTGCCCTAAATCTGACCTTTGGGGTGATTCCCTTAGGGCTTTTGGATAACATAAGTTCAGTGATCAAAGCCCCCCCCCCCCCCCC